GGACCCCTCAAGCTCCGCGCCCGGGGCAGGAGAGGGCGCCCCCCGCCGGCCGCCGGGCCCGCGTCCATCTCCGCGCCCCGCGCCGGCGCGGCTGCGCGCGCCCATTGGGCGGCCGCGCCCGGCGGGACACGCCCCGCGCGCTCCCATTGGCTGCGGGCCGGCGGGGCCGCGCGGGGAGGGTGCACGTGCGCGGGGAGGGCGGCCGGCAGGGGGCGCCCTCTCCTGCCCCGGGCGCGGAGCTTGAGGGGTCCCCGGCAGGTCCTGAGGGAGCCCCGGCCGGGCCTGAGGGACCCGCGGCCGGGTCGGGAACCGGGGCCGCTCTGAGGTTCCCATCGGCCGTGGAGCCGCTGGAAACATCCCACCCGGATCACCACAGGGCTCTGGTACAGGGCAGCCCGCTGCTGGTCTGCCCTGTCATGTTTTCACGGAATCATAGAATCTGCCGAGTTGGAAGGGACCCACAAGGATCATCGAGTCCAACTCCTGGCCCTGCACAGGACCATCCCCAAGGGTCACATCATGTGTCTGAGAGTATCATCCAAATGCTCCTTGAGCTCTGTCAGCCTTGGTGCTGTGACCACTGCCTGGGGAGCCTGTTCAGTGCCCAACCTCCCTCTGGGGAAAGTGCCTTCTAACATCCAACCTAAACCTCGCCTGACACCACTTCAGGACCTTCCCTCAGCTCTTGTCTCTAGTCCCCACAGAGCAGAGACTGGTGCCTGCCCCTCCTCTTCCCCTCCCCAGGAAGTTGTGACTGCAATGAGGTCTCCCCTCAGTCTCCTCCAGCTGAACACACCAAGTGCCCTCAGTGTCCTCACACAGCTTCCCCTCCAGGCCCTTCAACACCTTCATTGCCCTCCTTTGGACACTCTCTAATTGCTTAATATCTTTCTTATATTGTGGTGACTAAAACTGAACACAATATTCAAGGTGAGGCTGCCCCAGTGCAGAGCAGAGCAGGACAACCCCTCCCTTGACCGGCTGCATTACCCGGTTTTCATCACAAAAATGATTTTGACACTGCTATGGAAGCTCACTTGAAAAACTCACTTATTCTTTCCGACCACCATCTGCAGGATCAATCCCAGGGCTCAGAGGACCAGGAAAAAACCAAAGTTGGCCATATCACAGAATCACAGGTCATGTTGGGGCATCTGGTCCAACTTCCCTGCTCAAGCAGAGTCATCTTAGAATACAATATATGAGCACACTAAGATGTTGGGCAGTGATCTCGCCTACTGCTGAAGCACTTACCACATGGATAAAACAAGGAACAAGTGCATAAAGGTCAAGAGATATAAAAATTGATTTTTGCTACCAATTCCCACTTGCACTGCGGTCCTGCAGCCACCAAAGCTCCTTCCCACCTGGTTGGGCCACGTCCTGCATGTCCTCAGCCGTGCAGGAGTCAGGAAAAGCCAGCTTGGATAGGGGCTGTTGGAAGCAGTAGGGTGATTTCCAAGAGCAAAAGGTTTCCACTGCAGTCAGTGGGCTTTGGATTGGATTCTGCTCTCCTGGCATGGCTGAGTCGTGGAAGGCAGTCAAGACCCAACCTGTTAGCAGCTTTAAACTTTGGTGGCCCAGCAGAGCAGTGTCTTAGACTTTAAACTTCTGCAAAAATCTGCAACTTTTTTCCTGAAATTGTAGAAGAATTCAAAGGAAGACCCATAAAACAGTGTGAATGACTCTGGCAGATCTCCCTGCAGCACTTCCACAAGAGTTGTCCAGAGCAGTACTGACAGTGGTAATGGCTCTGAGTCTCAAGCAAGAGGAATTAGATTTGGACGCTCATCCCTGGGAGGGCAGGAAGCTGCGGGAGTGCTGAGAAAAGGGCTGTTTGAATTTAGGACAAGGGACATGAGTGTGTTAATACATTTTTCTTTCTTCCAGGCATTGGACAGGCAGCAAGAAGCACGTTTTCCTTGAGAGCTGCTCCTGTAGAAGGACAGAGGCAGTTTGAGAGCAGGTGAGATTTAATAGCTCTCTGTTTCCCTCTCTCTTTCAAGGCTCGCTCTGCTCTCTAATAAGAAGTTTCTAAAGCAAAGGGACTGGCCCTGATTCATTCAAGGGAGACAAAAACTCAGTTTGGGGCTGCCTTGCTCTATGTCAATAGTGTAACATAACATGGAAAACAAAACCTCAGAGCCTGAAATTCCCTCCTGACCTGCTGTGAACCAGCAATCTCAGTGTGTCCCCCCGGGGCCAGGGCTCTGGCTGGCACAGCAGCTCCCCCACAGCCCTTCCACCCGTGGCAACCCTCCACTCCTGGGAACCACGAGGCAACTTGATTTGTGAGCTGCCAAACCTGGCCTGAGCCCTCAACAGCCACGTTTAAACCCAGACCACCAGCTGACTTCATTTGCTGAGGGATCAGAGCTGGTGCCTTGTCTCTGCCCTCAGAAGGGTTTGGGGGGGGGGCTTAGGTTTGTTTAACTTTCTAGTAGATCCTTTCTCCCACCTTCCAAAGTCCTCTGCCAAAAAATAATAACAATACAGAGAAAGAATAAATTTAATAGTGTGGGGGAAGAGAGGCACTAATAAAGAGAAGTCTGTAACTTACTGCATGGAAGAACTCGCTCAGTGGCTGGGCTGGCTGGCACAGACTGCACTGGAGTAGGGATACTCCCTGTGGAGCATCCCAGACTTTCAGAGCATCTGGACAGGAGCCCAAGAGGCTGCAACGCCCCATGACAGGGGCAACATCCCAGGCAGACCTCAGTGTTGGCAAGGGCTGGAGCCAGGAGCGAGGGACAAGCCCCCAGAGGTACCCACACAACAAAAGAGGAATCTGTCTTAGGAGCAGCAGTGGTTTTATTGAATCCAAATCCCAAAGCTCCAGTGAGACACAGACTCTCTTTATTAATTGAACACCACGGGCTTTCCAGAAATGCCTTGAAATTGTTCCTGATAAGGATAAACTCGTGTGGCTGGAGGGGGCCGTGGTCCTGCTGTGGTGGTTGCATTGCTCCCCTGCTCCCAGCCCGTGTGTGGGGAGGTGTTTCTCCTCTCACCATCACAGAGGTGGATTTGGCCCTGCAGTTCCTAGGAAACAAGCCCTCTCCCCCCTCTGAAAATGGTGTTGTATTTTTTTCTTTCAATATTAAATGTACGTCGAGGAAGCCAAGTTTCATGGCCATTATTGCACAGTTAATAACCCTTTGGAGACTGCAGACATGTGTTATATCCATCTTCCCGAGCAGTCACTTGGCTCCCTGCCTGGAAAATGCCAGCATGGGAAGGGTTAACTTGGCCACTGCTCAGCCTTCTCCCTTCTCTCCAGCCACCCTTTTCCAAACCCTTCCTGTCCTGGTCCTAAGTGGGCAATCCCAACCTCACAGGTGCTGCTCTGCTGCCGGGACACTCTGATGCCTTCCCTGCTCTCCCTGCAGCTCCTCTCCTGCTGGGACACTCTGATGCCTTCCCTGCTTTCCCTGCAGCTCCTCTCCTGCTGAGACACTCCAATACCTTCCCTGCTTTCCCTGCAGCTCCTCTCCTCACCGAGGTCTTTGGGGATCCAGAATTTCTTCCCCTCCAGAGGCTGCAGAGCTTGGCCAGACTGGTCAGGCATGGACCTGGCAGGTGCTGCTGTTACCTGTGCAAATGACCCCCCAAAAAACCACGAGCCAGTTTTAATGACAAGTAGGGACCAACAAAAGCTCTTTTGTAATTTAAAACCATCAACCAAATAAATACAAGTAGTTCCAGAGGTGCCAGCAGTGGGTTTCCTACAGACTGGCTTTACACTGGGAGCCAGAGGTTCCATTAAAGCTTCTTCCCTGGATACAGGGTATTCCAGGCTGTGCTGCTTCATGTTGGATTCACTTCTTACAGGTGGTCACAATGATCTTTAAGGTCTTTTTCAACCTAAACGATTCTAAGTGGAGTCTCCAGTGTCTGGAACAGTTCATGCAGCCCTCAGCAGAGGCAGTCAGGAGGTTTTTCCTTCCAGCAGCCTGAATTCTCCCAAGCCTGCGAGAGAAAAACTCCCTCTGGGACATCCCTGTCAAGTCTGGCTGAAAATGGACAGTCTGTTCATGAGCTCCTGGGGATAGAGAGCAGAAAGAAAAGTGACTGTGACACTGGAGGTGGCACCTGTGTCCTCAGGGGAGCACACAGCCTGCTTCAGCTCAGGTAGGTCCATGGCAGGAGTCCCTGTAAAGCAGAGAGTTTATCCAGGGGCTGACAAAGGTCCCTTTTGTCACAGGGAGTTTCCTTTCATTGACTGTGTCTGTCTGACAAACAGCGAGTGCATTCCATGAGGTTTTCCATGATCTTCCCCACAGATACTTCCCCCCTGCCTATCTCCAGAGGCCTCCCAGCAATGGGGAAAAACACCCTATTTCCATGGGAAACAGAGAAAAGAGAAGAAAAACAATCCTGTGGGATGGGGGCTGAGGAACAGACCCCTGAAATCTCAGGGTTGCTTCACACCTGCCATGACATGGAGATCTGGGACATTACCACCCTGGTGCCGCTCCTGTCCATACAAAACCTCCCAGGTATCCTTGCTGCCCTGGCACACCTTTGGAGGGATCAGGGTGCAACACTGTCAGGAGCAGAGAATGACATTGCACACAGGCCACGGTGGGTGAGAAAAGTCAGGGATGTAACAGAACGTGCTCACAACTGAGCCGCTCCCCTGCAGGGAGCCGGGAGGATCCGCTCCCTCCCACAGGCTTCGGGCAGAGATGGAAATGTCAGAGCCCCACCACCTCCAGCCTGGCCATGGGGGGGGGGGTTTAACCACAGACAGGGCCAGTGCAGGGTCTGTGTGGGGTGGGAGAGCTGTGCACAGATCCCAGCACCCACCACACCGAGCAGCCACACGTCACTCCCCAGGCATGCGGGGACGAGGGGACAAAGGAAAGAGCTCTCGTTGTTTGGGGCTGACCCTAAAGTTCAGCCAGGCTTTTCATGAAGTCCAGTGTTGCCACTTCTGGTGATGTTATCAGGAACCTGGGAATAGCTGGCACTTTCTTTTGTTCCGATTTACGGTTTGTTTGGGTTTTTCCCCTCCAGACCTTGGCTCCTGCAATCATGAGATTGATTTCTCGTTTAACTCCATCACTCTATGTTTGACCCCCTGACAGGCTGGGAAATGTGAGCTGTGAGAAGCCTGGAGGTTTATTGCCCAGGAGCAAATTAAGAAGTTCTCAACCATGGGATTGTTTAAAATAATCCTTTCTCAAAATTTTTGCTGTTGATTAATTTTTTTTTTGGAGGCAGAAGTTCTGAATGCTTGGAGCTGACACCAGCAAAGCCCTTCACGCAGGCACCACCTCCCTCTGTCCCTGCACTGTTCCTCATCTGGCTATACCCCACGTCTGGTGTTCCCCATCTCCTCTCAGTCATCTCTCTTTGTATCCAACACCTGCCTTGGACAAGGATCATCCCCAAAACCACATATTTCATATAAGGCTCCTCCTTCTCTGCGTATTCCTTGCAGCAGGGCACAGGGAGCCAGAGGGGGAGACTGGTAAAGCAGGAAGGTGGTGCATGGCTTGGAAGAGGGACAGAGGTGATGCTAAGGGGAGTGTCAAGGCAGGTCATCCACCTGCAAGGATGGCTACTAGAGCCTGGACCTGGTGGCCCAATGCAACTGCACAGACCTAAAGTGGCTCCTTTCCCCCATGAAAGCACTAATAAGGGGAACTGCTGACTTAAAACACTCTTGATAATGTTTTCCTATTTCTTTAACACCTCTCCCTGGAGCACTCTCTCCTCCCTTCACAGCGTCTTGGCCAATTACACTTGCAAAACAAACAGAACACTCGATATCCCCAGGAGCGGGGATTGCCGGGGTCAGGGGCCCGCAGCAGGCGGGGGCTCCGAGGTGGGTCACGGCACGGGAGCCGGCTCTGCTCCAGCCAGGAAGGCCCCTTCCCATCCCTGGAGATGAGGGACCACAGCCAGGCACTGTGGGGGGGACAGGCCAAGGTGGGAAGGGCTGTGCCCCAGGCACAGGCACCGCTGGATGGTGGCACAGAGCTGGGGAAGGGCTGTGTCCCAAGGCCAAACCCCTCTGGCCGCCCAGCTGGGATCTGGGTCTGTAGAACACCTTTTTTCCCTTGTGGAAGTGAAACAGCCCCAAGCCTGTGTGCTCAGGTCACTGGGGCTCTGTCTAACCCTTCTTTTGTCTCATATTCAAGAGGCTCCCAAGCTGCCCTCAAAGCTTTGTCAAACCATTTGAACTTTTACAGCAATTCAGCAATCAAAAACCTCCACCTTTTATCCATGAGCAGTGACAGGACCAGCAATATTCAGAATTACTCTTCCCCACAGAACCAGTCCTTTACTCAGGTTTGTGATGATTTTCCTCATTGCTCTCAGTTTGGATGCAGAGCTGTGCAGAAGTTTACTGTAATGCCATTGAAAGAGGCAGTGCAGAGTTCACAGCACAAAACCTCTGACTGCTTTTAAAAATTTAATTTTAAATTTAAAAAAATTAATAAAAATTTTAAAAATTTAAATTTGCATTCCCTGTCCCCATTCCTGGCTGCTCTGCAGTTCTCCCCTTCTGGACCAGTTGGTCTTTACAATCCCTTCCCATCACCCCCAGGTGAGTCAGGAAATTCCCAGTGCTGTCCCAGGAGGACAAACCCTCCCAGCAGGAAGGGAGGTGTGGGCACTCAGCCTCCAGCACATGCTGTCCCACAGACTTCACTCTGAGCTCCACAGCCTGGAGATGCAAACTGGGATGTCTGGTTGTAGGATCATAGAATCCTAGACTGGTTTGGGTTGGAAAGGACCTTGAAGATCATCTGGGTCCAACGCCCCCGCTACAGGCAGGGACACCAGGGAGCTCAGGACTCCATCCAGCCTCGCCTTGGTCAACTGATGTTGCCCAGGAATGTTAGTTGTGTAGCTTAGGGGTCACTTGGAGCACCTATCTGGGGAAACAGCCCCATATTTTGGGCTCTTGAGCTGCCCTGAAGCAGCAAAAGCGTGTTTGTTCTCAGGGGATAAGGGAGCAGGGCAGGCAGGATGTGCTGTGACCACTGCAGGGCCACACTTGCAGTGCTGTGCACCTTGACAGGGGTTGTGCCTGTCACACTCTCCTCAGGGACAGCAAGGGCTCCCTTTTCCTCCAGCGAGGAAACCCAACTGCCCACGTCAGCACAGCCTGCCTGGAGTCACTGGGTACGAACTGTGAGAGGTCTGGAGGGAGCAACACTCCTCAAGTCTGACACACATCCTGCTCCTAATCAGCAACAGCCACCAATACCTCATCCCAGCCCATTGGGGGCCAATATTGTCACGTTTTGCAAGGCCCTACAGTGACCCAGGAACAGAATGGAGATGCTCCTCTGATGCTGGCTCCTCTCTCCCAGCAGAGCTGGCAGCTCACTTTGGCTCAGTCACAAGTGTTTGTTCAGAACAGCAAAACATCAGCGTCACTCCAGCACTGTTCCAGTGCCGGCGGTCGGGATTCCTGGGCTGGACACAGGCAGGAAAGGAGAGGAGGTGTTTTCAGAGCACCTGCTGGCAGTGAGGATTCCCACTGGCACCATCTGTGAGCTGGGATGGAGGGAACTGCACCCACAGCTGGGCACAGCCCATGGAAACCCCTCACGGAGAGTGCCAGGCAGGCAACCTCGAAGCTTCAACTAGCGAGACAAATCCGGCTGTCTCCTGGCTCTGAACAGGAATCCTAGGGAAGAGCTGGGCTCAGATGGGAACCATGGAGGCTGCCACCCACATTCCATAGCGTCCGAGCACCTCCTGTCCATCCACAGCCATGGACAAAGCCCATGGAAATTTTCCATCCTGCTATCAAAGCAAACCAGTTCCCAGCTCTCTGCACAGCCATAGCTGAGCACAGCCTGACCACAAGGGCTGTGCCAAATGGGATTAAAGGAGCTTGTTTAGACCAAGGGATCCCTTTTCCCTGCTGATGCTCACGGGGAGTGTGGAGTGTGCAGGCTGTGTGTGCTTGGTCAGGGGGCCATTGCAGCCAGGGCTCAGCACAGCTGGGAACCCACCAGGGTCACAGCTTTCGTGGACCCCAAGCCCAAACTCTGAATTTTCTCTGGGCAGAAACCAGCCATAGCAGCTGTAAAGGAAGGAATATGCACTGGTGACACCCAGGTAGATACCAACCCTTGGAGTCCTATGGACTGGAACCAAACCCCGGGACTGGAATTGGTACCAAACACTCTCAGCAAAATTTGTAAGTGCTCTTCTACCAGCGACACACCAGACACTTGTTTCACAGTCAGAGATCAACCAAGTGGAAATTAACAGCTGCAAGAAGTTTGCACCCCGATATTCTCTGCCAGGGGAGGTTTAGGTTGGTTATTAGGAAGAAATTCTTTACAGAGAGAGTAATCAGGCATTGGAATGGGCTGCCCAGGGAAGTGGTGGATTCTGCGTCACTTGAGGTGTTTAAGATGAGACTGGATGTGGCACTTAGTGCCCATGGTCTGGGAACCACGGCAGTAGTGGATCAAGGGTAGGACTTGATGATCTCAGAGGTCCCTTCCAACCCGGCTGGTTCTGTGATTCTATGATTCAATCGAATCTCTGTTTCCAGGGGCAGAAGGACGGACAGCAGCGCTCCCCGGAGCCGTGTCCCGACGGGAGCCGTGTCCTGCTATTGCCACCTCGTGGGGCCTCGCAGCAATGACCAGGTCACCACCGCGGGTGATGGCACAGGTAGGGATTGGGATGTTCCACGAGCAGCAGGTACAGCCCGGCAGCGCTGGGCTCTCCCAGGGCAGCCAGAACCGGTGGGAAGCGATTCCCAGGTTCACTAAATGCTGTGCGTGCCCTGCAGAATTGTGTGGGTATAGAACAGTCCTCACTTCAGGCCAAAGGGGCTCCTGCTACAGTGTCCTGTGCTCTGCTCAAGTGCCATCCTTGCAGGATCCAAAGGGTTCCAAAAAAGCTCCAAACACAACCACTACCTGACCTCACTGCCCCTTGCAATAGGGAAAAAACCAACATTCTTTGGTTGCTGAATAATTCCTCCTCAGCAAAGGAACTAGGTAGGATTTGCAAGGCCTGATAAGACTTGGCACAACCTGATAAGATTTAGCTCCTGCTTCCTACAGATTCTTGTCCTGAAATACCAGGAGTTCTCCCGCACTGTACACAGCCCACAACACAACTCAGACACTTACCCAGAGGTGCACTAGGAAGGCCTTTTTACAGCTTTCTTCTGCTCTTGGTTGTAGAAAGCAAACACACAAATCTTCCAGGAGCCCTTCTAGGACTCCTGGGATTCTCAGTCAGCCAGGAAAAGCACAAAACCAACGCTGAGGTCCAAGGGGGAGTCAGGCTCCCCCAGCAACTGGAGGTGACCCGTGGGGTTGTTGCCTCAGCTGCAGGTCTGCTGGGCTCCACTGGACTCCAGTGGGCTCCTGGCCCAGCCCCAGCGAGGCCCTCCCTGTCCCCTCACTCACATACTGGGATCTTTCTAAAGGAGCCTCTCCCAGATCCTCCTGCCTTCCCTCCTGCTCTGGGAACTCATTGTTTGGGCTCAACCCGAATCAGCCAGTGCTCACAGAAAGGAGTTGTCCTGGAGGCAGAGTTCTCTGCTGGAAGGGAGATTTCTGCCTTGAAAAAGGGAAGACTGCTTTCCCAGGAATGTCTTTCAAAGGATACATGCCCAGTCTGGGAAGAGGTGAAGGCGAGTGTCCTGCAGAGTGTCCTGCAGACAGAAGATCTCATTTTCCAGGGAGGATTCTGCCCAGGGCTACAGGAAGGCGAAGCACTGGGGCTGTGCCCTGCTGTCCTTATCATTGTGCCTGGTCACAGGAGGTCTGGATCCAAGTCTCATCAGTATCATGGGAAAAGCTCCTGTGAATTTCAGTGGGAATTTAATCACCTATTTTACTGCTCAACTTTAACTTCTTTTAGACCAGCTTCTTCTGTGGGAGGAAAACTACGGACTTTTCACCACCTGAAACAACTGCCTGGGAGCTGTTTCTTCCCACCCGGCTCAAAGCAGAGTAATATTCCACAATATTCCAGGCTACAAGGCCATGCTTCTTGCACTTCAAAGTCACTGTGGAGAGGGTTTATACTTGTTATTCCACTTAATGTTTCTGACTTTGAAATGATTATGGGGTCTCCTCTGAATGCTTTATGGGGTAACAAAACTCAGGAGAACAGGGCTCTCTCCAGCTGAGTAAATAGAAGCTATTTTCATAAATCTTCGGACTATTGGAACATCAACAACATTATCCTACATGGGTTGTTATGACTTTGTGTTTGCAGAGTCCTCTGTTGAAGCTCACAGTGGTGCTTTCAGCCTCGTCTTCTGTTAAGGCACAAACTTCAGGTAGTCCCACAGGGGGTTCTTTCAGTCAAATAAACTCTCAGAGCCCCAGTTGAAGCTCTTTGGGTGAAGTTCACTCTGGTGTGATCACCTCCCTTTCCTTGATTGGGAATCCCAGTCCTTGACAAGGGACTGATGGCAGGGCTTCACCTCTTCCCTGCGATGCTGGCCCCTCGAGGGCCACCTTGCTGTCCCTGATGGCCTTCAGGTAAGATTCCACACAGTTCCTGAGCAGAAATGCCATTCTCAGTGGGAATACAGATCTCCTGTGTGACCTCCAACAGCTCAGAAGTGTTTGTCCTCCTCAAGGTCCATTGGGCAGCCAAAGCTCAAACTCTACAGAGACACAGAGCTGGAGGGACCCCATCAAACTGGCAGGGAAGAGGCATTTCCAGGGATTTTGAACATGACTGATGGAATCAGCTCACAGGTACATTGCTGGCTCATGTGCTGCTCTGTACAAAAGGCTCTGGAGTTCTCCCTCCTGGGCTGTGTCCGTGTGCTCAGCATGGAATGTCATCCCTGCCCGCTGGGGATGTGCTGCTCTTCAATCCCACAGCTGGGGGAAGTGCCTGTGGAGATGGTGTTTTTCTTCCTAAATCAGCAACTTCTTTTTTTATTCTTCACAGTTTGCAAGTTGCTTGTAGCCAAAACTCACACAGCCCTGCTCGATTTGTTTTCCATCTACTTTATTCTTACCCATAAGCTTAAAAAAAAGAAAAAAAGAAAGAATTCAGCTAATAAAACCAAAGCATTCTGCTACAGTTCATTATTTGGGCTGGAACACCTTCCCTTATGTTTGTTTGCCCATGGGAGGAGACAGCAAGTCAGAACCTCTGCGATCCTCCCAACCGGGGAGGCACAAATGGAAAGAAGAAATATGGAACAGCTTTTCAGCTGATACAAATCTGCACAGCTTGTTTTCCATAGAGCTTTCCTGCTTTTGCCAGCTGAAGATCCATGTCTGAGCTGCCTCAAGTGTTCTTATGATGAGCCACTGATAATCCCACCTCAAAACCCAGCTGAGTAGAGATACAACCTCATGCAACATTCCAGAGGGAGTAGTTCCTGGTGTACATAGGACCACTGTCAAGTACTTTAATCAAAGCATAAGTCTTGAATAATACAAGTGATGGATGAGGGCCCCATTAATTTTCCTTCCTCTCTGTTCATTAATTGTTCAGGAAAACACAAGATCATTTACAGCCATGGCTGCTACCTCTTATGAAGATTGTGGGTCATCCAGCCTTTTCCAGGCAAGGGAAAAACTTGGAAGAGTAAGGAATTCACCCCTGAATGGGCTCTCATTGGAAAGCTGGGAGGGGATGGACAGGGAAAACAAGGAAATCCTCACCTGTTTTCAAAAAATATTTATTTGTGATGTGTATCACAACTGACCAGGCAAAGTCAGTGGTGTTAAGAACAACAAAAAAAGATAATTATACCAAATAATATGAATTGAGAAAATGAGTTCTGTGGAGCAAAGGAGATCTGTAAATCAAATCCAGAGCAGGCTGATAAATCTAAGTATGAAATAAGTACAGAGGCAGCGTAGTACACGTGGACAGGAATACCTGAACTAAAGACAGAGAAATTAAATGGAACAGAACAGTATCCCCTGAGTCTGAAGGACTAAGATTTGATTTTCAGTCTATAACTATCAGAAATATTTTGGCATGGTCAGACTGACAAAGCAAAGCCAGAAGCACTGTGTAACCTCATTGAACCAGGACACACTTTGTGAAATGGTGACAATAACGTGTCAGAGTCTGTGCTCCCAGCCACACCTACAGCTTTTCTGCACCTGCATTTGGAGACTCTTTTCACACCAAGATTATAAAAATGTTATGGCTGAATTTTCATTGCATTGCATTGAATAGACTGAAAATCTTGAAGCACCATGATATGAATTTCTTTGGCAATTATTGTGTCCCCGTGAGCTCAGCTTCTTGTTTCTGGGTTTCTATCAGTAACAAGTGGAAAATGAAGCTCCCATAACTTCAGGGATGACCAATCTGATGTTAACAGGGGAGATACATCTAGTCTCACTGTCACAATCCATTCCCACTTCTTTCTGTGCTATGGGTATTTATTCCCAGTTCTTAGAGCTTTACATTCAGACTGTTTAGGTCTAATCCCTTGCGTGGCCATGGCAGGAACCCCTGGGCAGGGCTCTCACGGCCTGCCCTCGACACCCCTCACTGACACACGATGGAGTTATTTGGTTTTTACTGTGCCCAGATAATCTTCACCCTCAGGATGTTTTTTTCTTCCATATTCTTCTGTACTCACCCAAAATTTGCCTCAATGCTTTACATTTGAGTGTATTTATCTACCTTTTGCTCTTCCTCGAAGACCCCAGTTTCACACTGACTTAGAACAACAGTTCTGGCAATTAGGTTGGATAACTGCAATCCAAAATTTCTCCTAGGCAAGACTCCAATTGAGTTAATTGGCTTCAGTGGGAGGCTTGTCCTGAGCAGAAAGGGCAAGGTTTGGCCTCAAGGAGACTATAAATTCCAGTTTAAAAATCAGTAGTTGTTCAGAGGCTCATTCCTGTGACAACATCATTCCTTGTGTTTCCTTTCCTGAATTCCTTTCCTAGTCATAGGAGGAAAGCTTCTGGCACCACAATTAAATGATAATACCCTGGCCACCTCCCAAAACTCCTTTACATCTCAAAGAAAGCACAGTTGTCTCTCCAAGGGAGCGTAAAGCCTCCAAGATGCTGGATTTCCACGTTTTGTTAGGAAAGGCCAGTGTTTTTCATGTAGGCAATAAACAGGCCCTGATATGCAACTGTGCCCCTGCCAAACTCAGCAGTTGCTTTAGATGGTCCCATTCCACCAGCACACATCTCCCATCCTTCTCAGAAGTTGTAGGCCATGCTCCTTCCTCAGTGGAATTCTCTGTGTGGTAAAACAGGCATGTTTGGGGTATTACCTGGTCCAAAATGCAAGTAAAAAATCAAACACTGCAAAAAATGAAGCCTCTGTAACAAAGCACTTCTACAGCTTCTTGTACCTGCACAGAAAACACTCCTCTCTTCATATCTGAGATCCCAAACATTTCCCCTTCTTTCAAATGCTTCAGTCACTGAATTACATCCCCCTTGCCAAGGAAATCTTGGGAAAACAAGTCAGTCATGTCACACTTCCTGTAGGTCACCAATTCCTGCCTGAGCAGCCCAAGGGAAGCGGAGCCTTCCCGAACCAAGTGCTCTGCTCCAGGGCTGTTCTAGCCCTGCTCCCCTGGCCTCCATCAGGCTACTGGATTTAGCTCCCCAGATGATCTCAGCTACTGTAGAATCACATGCAGAGCCTCTAAAAACTTATGACACCAATCATTTATGGCCTTGTGAGCTCATGCAGCTGGAAGTGAGACTGGCACCACCCTGTTTACAAGGCCCAGGCTCTGCCTGGAAAGCCCCGGGACTGAAAATGCTGCTGCACTCCACACTGGATTTAGAAAAGAGGGGCAAATTTAGGATAGAGGCACTTTGGGGAACTGATCAAACATCCACTGTTCCTCCACTGCTTACAGATAAACAGTGGTATGTGGCCAAAGTCACACTAAGTTTGGCTCTGACTTATGTGATTCCCCATTTTATAACAGAGCAGAGATGGAAATACAGATCCTGGTACCAGATGAACCCACAGCACTGACAGTGTGACATTCCATGCCAGTCCCCAAAGCCTGGATACCTGCAGTGAACACTCCACAACCTCAAATCAGAATTTAGCACTCGCTCCAGAGAACACAATGTCCAAGGAGCTCACAAGAAGGGACCGGATGAGATTTGTTTTTAACCCTCTGGGCTGAAGATGTGTCAGGAACAGGGGGCGTTTTGAAGACAAGTAAGTGCACAAGGACCTGTGAAAAGACCCAATTTCCATTCACTCTCTTCTCTCCCCACTGCCCCTTCTGTTCTAACACTGGGCCAAAAGGACTGAAAGATATTTGGGAAACCTGGAGCTCAGTGGAGAGTCAGGGCTGAGTTTTGCTGTTTTAACCGTGGTTTCCTTAACAGGTAAATCTTAGAACACAATATTTGACCTATCTATCATACAGCACATTTCAGAGAAAGACTGTATTTCTGCACTGAAGCCAACTCTTCACAGGCAAGTCATTTGAATTCCTCCATGTTTGCTTCCTCCGGCCTCCAGGAAATGAAATCTAACTTAAAAAAATATCATTTTTGATGAGGGTTTCAACTGAAGAGTAAAGACTGAAGTGCCAGTCCCTGCAGAGCACTGTCAGATTTTTCCCATATTGAGTAATTCTGGTTCCTAATGGAGTTCACACTAAGTTACCTACCCCAAAACATCTGTGATTTAAACTGTTTGATGGAATATATCGCATTGAAAACCAGTGGGACACTGAATTATTTGACTCCCCTAAGCTCTGCCCTAGTGGAGCACTGTCAGTGTCCAAACCTCTTCCCACACACTTCCCAACGATTCAGAAAGTGGGTCATTAACACATTTTGTCATTTGATGCAATTTCTCCCTTCCCTCTAAACTGGGCTTTTTTCCAGGTCCAGTAGCCAACAATAAATCAATCACAGTCTCTCACAAGCCTTTTGACTCAAATTCTATCCTGTAGGTTGGGCTGAAACCAGAGCAGAAATCACTGCAGGAGGTGGGGCAGGACAGGGCTAGTGGTGACTGCCACTGAGGAGGTGTTTGCTTGACCCACTGCTGCTCTTGCTGCCGTTCTTTGTGGACTCCTCCTCAGTATCTGTGACAGAGTCTTCCTCCTCTTCATCACTCCGATCATCTTTCAAGTCCTAGGGAGAAGAAAGCACTGTGAGCACATTCTGTTTTGCAGTGTTACTGTCAGGTAAGTTACTGGAGTGCTGTTGTCAGTGCAGACCCTTCAAAAAGGCTTCCAGACAAGCTTATTATTAGTGAACTGGGTATTTGGATCTCTGTAATGTCTTTAAAAAAATAACCAATTAATCTAATTACTCAGGCACCCCCATTTGTAATTGCAGAAGGAAAAGCTGGTGCATGAAAATTCTAGAACATGAGACATTTCACTTCTTGGAAATTCAGCATCATCCTCTGGAGACAAAACTGTTCACCATTTGCCTCAAAAAATATGTGCTAAAGTGAACAAATGAAAGGGGAGCTCTAAATACATTAAATATCAAAACTTTCTCCCTGCCCCCAAAACGGAGGCTGACATCCAAGGAGAGGCCAGTTAAGAACACTTTAATCTTGCAAAACCTGATGTTCCTTAGACAAAACTGCTTCCATGACCTTGAACTCTTCTTTCCTCGTTTCTGCTTCTCCCTGTAAAGTGTTACTATTAATCCCTGGGTGCTGTGAGATTAATTAACAACTGTGAAGTGCAGGGAAGATGAAAAGAATATTGTTTAAAAGCTAAATATGATGAATACACTCACCCAAACACAGGAGCTGAGAGGCTGCCTGCTGCTGACAGGTGTAAACCAAACAGTGCTGAGCTGTGCCAGCATCTCCTGGCACCAGCTTTGCTCCAAGACACTTGCTGACCCCAAAATACCCTTTCCCACTCATGGTGTACACAGCACATCAACACTGGCACAGGGAAGGCCATGTTGTGTACATCTTTGGAATACCATCCCTGAGGGAACTGCCAGGCAGGAGAATGGGGATGAAAGGGAGTCTGCCCTTGGGAAAATCCCTCCCCAGCTCCGTAGGAGAAGCTCCTAACATTTGGCAATCAGGCTTCATCCCAGGGAGTCAAACATGGAAACTGAACGTTTCCACTACAGAGAAAAGTCCTTGTGTCTCCCCAGTGTTTCACAGCAAAGGTCAGGGAGAGGTGACACCCCTGTTTGTCACAGCACATAAAATACACCATAGTCTCCCATTTCTCTGCTCCTGCCATAACCCAAGCCCCTACAACGTGTTCAGAAGTTTGATTCAAACAATTAAGGCTTCAGCATTGAACTCAACACCTCTATTTCCCTTGCAGTGCAACAAACTCACACGAGCAGCACCTGCCTGCCTGGAGGACTTTCCATGCCAATGGAGGACCTTCTCTGCAGACTCGGGGCAGGATGCTCTAGTCAAAGATGGACATCAAGAAAACACTCCCTACTTCCTAAATGTTCTCAGGCACCACTTTTTATGTCTTTTTGTACCACAGGGTGCTTGTCCTGAGGGAGACGTGAGGCTTCTCCTCCTGACAGAGCACATGTGCTGGAGCTGGCAGGAATGTCAGTCCTTGCACAGACAACCCACAGCCACACTGGGACCACCCCATAATGGATAATTTTGTGCTCATGTCATCTGTCTGGACCTCAACTAGACAGGCAGAGTCTGCCTGTTGTCCCTGCTCCTGGAGCATTGTGCCAAGGTCAGGACTGTGACGCAGGAAGGAGAAATCAGGGCTGTTCCTGCCCATCCTGCATCTGCTCTCGGAGTGAACTAACAGTTCCACTTCCTCAGCATGCTGCTCTGAGGTCTTTCCTAAGCACCAAACTCATACAGAGAAAATAAATAACAGCTCAGTAATAACTCATCCAATTGCAATCTCATATCCCCTCCTATGTTACACTCCCAGTAAAAGGTACAGGGCTAGAAAGCAAATTAAAGCCTGAGCTCTGTCTCATCACAAACTATAAATTTCCTGGAGATTTTCTTCTGCCTTTTCCCTAACAACATACAAAGGGTATCAAAACAAACAAATCTTACTGTAAATACTGTAAAATAAACTTGGCATGCCATCAGTTAGAGAAAAGGCAAGGCAGGCTTTCCCACACAAACAATTTATGAGGTTCTGGCTCTTTCAGATCACCTCGCTCCCTCCCGGTAGTGTTGCCGTTTGTATTTGCAGTAAAACACAAATGCTGAGGGGGAGGGGGGAGGATTGTTGCTTTTTCTGCCACCAAAAATGTTTCAGAACAAAAATTAAAAAGAAAAAATAAAAATCAAACAGATCCTAAGCACAGTGTCTGATGCTGAACCCTCTGGACTCCCTGGAAGTGTCCTCCCTGGAAGTGTTCCCTGAGGCTGCAGGGACAGGGAGCAGCACTTTGGGGCTCGGTGGGAATAGTCAGGGAAGTTTGGGAGTGCATATTTCATTTGGAGCCCCTCCTTGTGCTCCACAGAAGTTGCTGCTGCTCGAGCCCGTGCTTAAGAACAGCTGGCAATCTGCTCTGCTTTGAGTGATAGCCAATATTGGATAGATTCCTGTTTCCTGCAGGAATGAGCTGGCATTTCCAGCATGGAACTGGAAACTCGGATAGAGTTTGCTTCCCAGTTTTAATGGTGTCAAGCTGGATGCTCTGATTAAAGGCACTTTATGTAGTAATTAAAAAACATGTCATGTTTTTTCCAGCCCACTGGAAATCCCTGTGTTTGAGGGAATGCCTTACAGGTTTCAAAGCAGCAGGAATTAAATTTCCTTGTATTCTGAAGCAACCATCGCAAATTTTCTTGATACAACTTCTGAAATCTTGACACTAATCAAGAAAAAAATGCTGATAAATTAAATCTAATTTTTATTATATTTTTAATAATAAACTTCTTCCTGACCAAGTGCCTCTACAAATTCCTGCTTTAGGAGAGTCTGCCCATTTTTGTCTGGCTTGTTTAAGTGACAGGCCTTTAAATAGCAATAGCTTCATCTGCAACTGGAAATCCAAACAAACCTGTCTTTGCAAACTGTTTAACAGACCATTATAAATATATTAAGATATCCTAAGTGAAGTTTGTGCTTTTTAACTGCGACCTTCTAAGAATAACAAAAATTGTAACATTTCTAGGATTTTCCCTGCTTTAGTACCAAGATGTTTCCTCTGAGCCCCTCACATCATATACTATAGTTGTGTTTTCCAACTCAAAGGCTCTGCTCTGACTGTCCCTGAGCAGCAGCAGACGGATGTACCATCAGGAACACAGGCAAACTGTAAATCCCCCAGCTGAGGCATCATTAATACTCAATGCTTTAGTTTAATGGCATCAAGTGCATTTATTGTACTTCAGCTGGTTTAGGGTAACAGACAAAATGGATGTGTACATTTTCTGTTCTGGATGACTGACCAATTTAATCTTTCTAAATGGATGAATGGTTTCAAGCTTTATGAGAAGCAACACTAATGCTATAAAGGCTGCAAGAGGGCCATTTGTAGTGAAGCCAAAGCCGCAAACTTTTATAATCTTTTTTCCTTTTGTTTAACCCTTCCACCTGCTGCTCAGTCTGCCTCTTTTAGTTAAATGAACCGTGTTTGTTAAGGTAGTTTTGGCTTCTTGCATTTCACTGCTGTTAGAACATGTATCATTGAAGTCATTAGCACGACATGACTGGCAAAGGACCTTCCAAGAGATTTCACCATGAACTTCTTGAAGTTATGGGATGAGCAAACTCCACAGGCCACCTCCCAGCCCCTTGTAAGCAGAAAAATACTGGTCAAATCTCCATCTAAACTAACAGGGAATTTACTCCTGTTTGTACAAGTCTGTCTCTCCATAAAGCACTCGGAGATCACTTCCCTCTTGAGAAGCCCTTGGCCCTGCACTCTCTGCTCCAGCTGAGAAGAACAACGGGAGAAGGACAGATGGAAGGGTGGGTTTCCTACCCCGTGGGCTGGGGACACCACTGGAACATCACTGGTGGAGAAAGGGGGCTGGGCAGACACCCCCCTTCTCTGGGCACATGGAATCTTTGTCCAGCACGTGCTGAGGTCACAGTGTGGCCACAGCTCCAGATCTGCCACACGGTCGTGCCAGTGGGAAGTGTAAGAACAGAGGGAAAGGCAGAGCCAAGCAGTGTAAAAAAAGGAAAAAAATCTATTGTAGCAACGTGGATTGATCCAACAGTGAGGAAGCCTTAGGAACGTGCCTCCTGCTTCCTCAGAAGGGGAAGGGCACTTGCTGGCAAACAGACAGTGGGGTCTGTGCGGCTTTACTGCAGATTGGCAATTTGAGGTCTCCAAATGTGAAGCTGTTGCTGTAATGACAGGGCCCAAACCACAAACAGGCAGTGAGGCAGCCTGGAGAGAGAGGAGAACCTGGCTGAGAGACACCTGGGCAGAAGGTGCTTCTGCAGTGAAGTTCAGCCACTACAACATCTTTGTCATGAACCAGCTTCCAGTGCAGCTCCTCCCTGGCTCTCCCTGAGGAAGGCACACACTTTCCCCAGAGGCTGCAGTGCTGCAGGGGGCATTAGGAAGGCAACAGTGCAGTGTCTGCTCCACCAATTCCTGGTGGGAGTTTGGGGGCACAGTGAGGGGGGATGTTCCTTTGCTCTTCCAGGGGACCAGCGGGGTGGGAGGGGATGGTGCCGGGTCGCTGTGCCTGACCATGGGCAGGAGGAGGGAAGGTCAGCCTGGGACTGTTCAAGATCCTCCTCATGGCACAACTACGGAGAGAGGCTGAGAGAGCTGGGGGTGTAAAATCTGGAGAAGAGAAGGCTCCAGGGACACCTTACCACCCCTTCCAGCATCTAAAGGGGCTTCAAGAGAGCTGGAGAGGGACTTTGGACAAGGGATGGAGGGACAGCACAAGGGGGAATGGCTTCCCACTGCCAGAGGGCAGGGTTAGATGGGATATTGGGAAGGAATTCTTCCCTGTGAAGGTGGTGAGGCCCTGGCACAGGTTGCCCAGAGAAGTTGTGGCTGCCCCTGGATCCCTGGAAGTATCCAAGGCCAGGCTGGAGGGGGCTTGGAGCAACCTGGGATAGTGGAAGGTGTCCCTGCCCATGGCTGGGATGAGACAGGCTTTAAGGTCCCTTCCAGCCCAACCCATTCTGTGATTCTTATCATGTCCACAGGGGGGCTGGGAGATGCTCCAGACCCAACTCACCTGGGGGGATCAACACTGACTTCAGGTTTCTCAGCAGTATAAGAAGATTTCAATTTTGCCCCTGACTGGACAAGACTAAAAACAATAAATCTTTTGGGTTAAGCAAAATTTACACCCACACATTTAACTGGATTTCTCCTACCAAGTATAGATGTATATAAGAATTCACAGCTGATTCCAGAATTTTGTGTGTTTTCTGATTTGGTGAAATTTAGATTTTTTTGATTTTCAAATACTTTAACCTTAAGTTGGAATTTCCTGACCCTCAAATGTATGTTCTATTAAAATCAGCATGTGCTAAATCTTGTACCCTAATTCTACCTTAAGAATATTTTCATTTAAACATCTACAAACGCATTGACTAGATCTTGATTTTTCAATGTAAAGACAATAAATTCCACAGCACCTGCACATATGGAAACAACTTGAAGTACAAAGATGAAAGCTATTAGTCAGGTCAGCAACCACTGCCTCAAATAAAAGAGATAATAAATAAGAGAGATAATAAAAAGTCAGTCCAAAGAGATAGAAGGGGGTACTTTTCTAACAAATAATACTATAAAGTTGATGAATCTCTGAGTTCAACATGTTGAATTCAACATCAATAATTCAACTCAGCTGACATATGACTTAATAAGTCTTTACTTTCCTGTGGAGACTAAGCAATATACATTTGGATTCAAGCAAACTGTTCTGTATTTCCAGCCTGGAAGATTTTATTGGGAAATAAATTTCCCTTTTCAACTTATATACACACCAGGCAACATAAATAATGTTCATCTTCCATGGAAGATGCACATTTGGACTCTGCTTTCTGCAGCTTTTAAATGAAGATGCAGAGTTTCTACATTAATTGTAGTGGACATCTTGTGGCAAAGACTCCTCTTATTTAATACTTCTCTTTTATGTAATAGTTATTCCCCAAGCTTTCCACTGGCAGTTTTCAGAGGGAACTCAAAGATGATGCATGAAGAATTAAAAGAAAAGTTACACTAATTCCACAAATATTGAAAAGAACAGTCTTACAAAACTAGATGTTACTACCAGAACACGTCTCCGATTTTGACTGAAGGAATAAATTTAACCTCCAGAAAACCTCCCTAGTGTTGTCACTCAGCACAGCACACCTGGAACTGGAGCTCTAATGCCCTGACTGTTGAGAAGAACTAAATCATTGTTTACAGCTGATCGGGGTCTCTGTGGTTTCAGAGTCTGAGTTACTGAACTCAGTGCCTGAACCTCGCACTCGGCACTCGGGGCTTTACGAGAATGTCCAAAGCCCAGGAGGTACCGAGTGAGTCACAATGTCCCACTGCTTTCTGAATTATTCCAGTTTTAAATCCACAGCTGGCAAAGAAACAAAGAACAACATAACAGGCATTTGATGCTGTTCTCTGTAGTGAACTTCTTTTTACCCTAGGACGGGACTTCAAGCCAAGGGGTTCAGTGGTATGAACTTTTATCAGAACACGCACTTTTACTCCTTATAAAAGCTGTTTTGGCTACAGAACAGCTGATCAGACACTCGTGCTGTTCTCAGTGAGGTCTGATACTGCTCTTAAAATGAATGTTTTGAAGAAATACAGCTGCTAAAGAACATTCCTACAGAAGCCTTACAGCACTGCTGGACTAACCTGAAACCACAAAGGACACAGCCAGGCAACAACAGGCATTTCTGTCCAATGAGGCCATTTCTCTATTTCCATCCTTAG